CAGGGCCCCCCATGGAGAGGGTGAATAACCTTAAATACCTTGGAGCAAACATCTCTGAAAACCTGACTTGGACTGTAAACACACAATCTCAGGTGAATAAAGCCAGACATGTACCTTCTGCCAATGCTGAGGAAATTCAGGATCTCAGCAGCAATCCTGAAAACTTTCTGTACAGGGGCCACAGAAAGCATCCTTACTCAGCGTATCTCCTTGTGGTATGGGAACTGCTCTATCCAGGACTGCAAAGCTCTGCAAGGAGTGGTGTGCTTAGCTGAGCAGTCTGTTCAACCAATTTGTGTCAAATCATATTAATATGAAAGCCCATGAGGCCTTACATGTTTAAATAGGAACACGCTTCCTAAACCTGTTGTAAAGTTTTATTGTCTTGTGTGATTGATTACAGTAGAAAAAGTACAAGAGAGTAATAACGGATGCAGTGACAAAATTGCACTGCAGTATTTCATTTGAATCTCTTTATCAATTTCCAGTTTAGAAGTGAATAAAATAAATTATTTTCACCTAGATAAATAAGAGACTTCTTTGACTTGTTTAATTTCAGTTTAACATTAAGAGAACTCTGCAGTGTACAAAATGTACAAAATGATTTTGCTGTAAAAGAAAGTTATTTTTAGCAGATTTGTTTGAGGTTCACAGTATATGAATCATTCATCATCATCATCATCGTCATCATCATCTTCGTCATCATCGTCATCATCATCCTCTGTATTCACTGTTCCAGAGAGCACATCTTCTATCCAGTTTTCCAGCTCTTCAGGTGACGGCAGCTCATCATCATCAGGTATCTCCAACCAGACACTGTCCGCCTGTCATAGAGACCATGACAGTGGGACAGATTCAAGCATGAGAAAGAGGGCTTTCAGAATGAATTCATCGGATCTGGTTAAAAATGAAAGTAGTGCACTTACATCTGTAACATTAACTACACCAATCTGTGGTCTGAAGAGGTCAACCTTGAAGGTCTTCTCCCAGTAAGGAATGAGCTAAGAAAGGAAATGTGCATATAAAGAGGGGTTCAACCAAAGAAATAATATTTCTTCCAGTTTTTGTCATCACATTACAATATGACTGACTCAAAATATTGTCATGCATCTATCCAGACTTATTTTAGTCACCAGTGGGAAGTTGTCTGGGTCAATCCACACAATACTCAGGTCTGGATTGTGTGTGTTGTCTCTGGCCACCTCCTTCAAAATCTC